GCGAGCCTTAGGTTCCCCACCCCTGCCCTAAAGAGACCCCCCTCGGCTGGCCTGAACTGGTGTCACTGCATTTCCCACAGTTCTCTTCAGTGCCTAGGAGAGAACCCAGGAGTCCTGGCTCCCACCCCCCTCAACCCACCAGCCCCCATTCACCTCCCAGAACCTGGGAGAGAACCCAGGAGTCCTGGCTCCCAGCCCCCCTCTCAACCCCCTGTCCCCATTCACCTCCCAGAGCCTGGAAGAGAACCCAGGAGTCCTGGCTCTCACTCCCGCAGCCACGAGTGTGTGGCAATGTGTGCTAGTGTTGGGGTTGTGTAGGCATGAGCTCCCCCAGCTCCATGATGCCCCCAGGGCCTGCTATGACCCTCACCCCTCTTTCCTCTGCACAGGAGCCCTGGCCGGGCAGCCACAGCTGACCCAGGTGGCCCCGTCACACGTGGTGGATGAGAAGATCCCGCGGCTCCGGTGCCAGATGTCAGAGAGTGACATTGCCACCCATGTGCTATCCTGGTACCACCAGGCCCCCGGGCAGGGCCCCACCTTCCTTCTGAGCCATCGAGCGGGGGAAAGCAAGCCCACATATGGGACCGGAGTGTCAGAGCGCTTCATTGCCGACTTGGAGCGGGACACCAACACCTTCAGCCTCACCATTGGCAACGTGAACCCTGCCGATGCCGGCACCTACTACTGCGCCGTCTGGTACGCCAACCAGTACCTCTTTGGAGAGGGCACCCGCCTCATCCTGGGAGGTGAGACACTAGGCAGGTGGAGCTGGACCCAGCCTAGCACACAACTAGATCCCAACTCGTGTGTTCTGGAGCAGAGTGCTCAAGCTAGTGGTAGAGCTGGTCAATATCTGTCTGGGCTGGAAGAAAAATGGTGAACCGATCTAGAACCTGCCCTGATTCAAATTAGAATGTGCCAAGAACCCTTCCAGATCAGAGATATTTTGGAGCAGGCACATGGGTAACAGGGATCAGGCCTGGAAAATGACCTAACATCCATCTAAAACTCACACTGAATCAACCCAGAACCCATCCTTAACCAATTTAGAACATACCCCGGTTATGGCCACAGAAGCATTTTTGATCTGGAGATTAGTTCAGGCTTTGCCTGGTGAAAAGACATGGCATTGCACTAGAACCCTCTCTGAATCAATCTAGAGAACAAGCAGAGCTATTCTGGCCTGTCTGGACAGATGCAGAACCCACACTGAGGCAATCTAGACCAGGAGGCTAGGCATTCTGGACCAGATCCATAACTACCTACATATCCAGCCAAATCTAGAACCCACACAACGCCAATGTCCAAGTCATCTGGGCCCAGTTCAGAGACTGAACTGATCTACCACCTATCTAGATCTGATGTAGAGCAGCCCATGAATTGACCTGGAACACATCTAGAACCAGACCAGAACAAGCCCAGGACCCATCTAGAACTGAACCCTCTTTCCGACATGATGGCACCTCCCAACCTGTCTCCATGTCTGCTTCTAGGTGACACTAGGAAGAAGCGTGCGCCGGAAGTGGCACTGCTGGGCCCAGTGCGGGTGGCGCACCCAGCCTTCCTGTGCCTGGCCTGGGGGTTCTCCCCGGAGCCAATCCGGGTGCACTGGCAGGTGGATGGGCAGGATCCGGGCTCTGGGGAGGCATCCCTGCCAGTGAAGAGCCAGGATGGGACCAGCACTGTCAGCCTGCTCAGCCTCCCTGCACAGACCTGGTTGGCTGGAGCCCAAGTAACCTGCCGGGTGGAACACGAGACTCAGGTCCAGCAGAGCAGCAGTGAGATCAAGGGGGCTGGACGCCAAGGTGAGAGTCCCCATGGACCCCCAACCTTTCTCCCTCCCCCGTCCTTACACTATTTCACCCGCTTTGTTTCTCCCCCTCCAGGTTGCTCAGTATCTGCCGGAGACCCCCTCCTGCTGCCTGACCCTTTCAGCAATGGCACAGCAGGGAGCACCGCCCCCCAGAGCACTGGTATGGCACCTCCAATGCAAGGGGAGCTAACCTGGAGTCCCTTTGGGACCACAGCACTGCCTTCTAACTGTCCCCTCTCCCACACAGGAGCCCCAAGCCTGGGCCGGATCCTCCTGACAGCCTGGCGCTGCTACCTGGGGTTATTGGCTGCCAGCTGCTTCTACAGCCTGGGGCTCTCCTTCCTCATGGGGCTGCAGGGGTGCAGGAAGAATCAAGGACCCCAGAGTTCGGTGGCAGCCCCATGCCCCCAAGAAGCCCAGCAGAGAGTGCCCCAGAGGAGAACTGGCAAGGACCGCGGCTTGGAATGAAACCTCAGTCCCCCTTCATCTCTCCCACCTCCGCTGAGAACCTGGAACCCCCAAACTCCCTGCCTGGGCACCTGGAACCCCGAACCCCCAGCCTGGGAACCAGGTCCCCACCTGGAAACCCAAATTCCCAGCCTGGGAACCAGGAACCCCCCATTTCCCACCTGGGAATCTGGAATCCCCAAATTCCCCTACCTAGGAGCCAGGAACCCCCACATTCCCCACCTGGAAACCCAAATTCCCAGCCTGGGATCCAGGAACCCCCCATTTCCCACCTGGGAATCTGGAATCCCCAAATTCCCCTACCTAGGAGCCAGGAACCCCCACATTCCCCACCTGGAAACCCAAATTCCCAGCCTGGGATCCAGGAACCCCCCATTTCCCACCTGGGAATCTGGAATCCCCAAATTCTCCTACCTGATAACCTAGAACCCTAAACCCCCAGCTTTGGAACCAGGAAATTCCCCACCTGAGAACCTGGAATCCCCAAACCCGCAGCCTGGGAACCTATAACCTCCAACTTCCCTGCCTGAGAACCTGGAACCCCCAGCCTGGGAACCTGGAACCCCAAATCCCCACCTGGGAATCATATTCCCCTGCCTAGGAACCTGAAATCCCCAGATTCCCCCACATGGCAACCTGGAACCTGCAACTCCCTGTCGGGGAACCTGGAACTCCCAAACTCCCCTACCCGAGAACCTTGTATTCCCAAACCCCTTGCCTGGGAACCTGGAACCCCCAAATTCCTCACCTGGGAATATGTAACCCCAAACCTCCAGCCTGGGAATCTGGAACCCTCCACCCCTTGTCTGGGAACATGGAACCCCAAAATCCTCCAGCCTGGGAACCTAGAGCCCCCAAACTCCCCCTACCTGGGAACATGGGACCTCCAAACTCCCCCACCTGGGAACCTGGAACCCCCAAGTTCCTGTCTGGGAAACCAGAACCTCCCTGCACTGACCCCCCCAGCTCTGATCTTTCAGCCCCACCTGCTCTGTCCTGGTATCTCTTGGTCCCCCCCAATCTCTAACCCCCACCACTTCCTCCAGCTTATCACTCAATAAAATCTTCAAGAAACCAATTGCAATGAGAGGGAGTCTGTGCAATGGTGCCGCCTGGGATCTCCCTGCCCCTGCTGAGTCTGTTCAACTGGAACTCCTGGGTTCTCTCCTCAGGCCTGGAAAGGGAGTGTGAGCTGGTGGGTTAAAGCGGGGGCTGGGAGTCAGGACTCCTGGGTTCTGTCTAGGAGGGGAATGGGGGCTGGTTGGTTAGAGCAAGGGGTCTGGGAGCCCCCAAACTCCAGTCTGCCCCTGCCCCCAGAATTCCTCCCCAGCATTTCCCTCCCTGGGGCAAAGTCCCCACAGCTGTTAAATTTTAACCTGACCGACTCCACATCCCGTCCAGCAATCTGGAGTCTAAGCCATGAGGCTGGGGACGTGGGCGAGGGGGGAGAGCCACACACCTCTGACCCAGCAGTGCTTGTGCCAGGGAAGAGGGCATGGGACATATTCCCTTGAGGGTGGGCAGGGGGAGGGGCTGTTGCAGGTAGCTATTGGAAACCCTCCTGGGAGGAGGATGGGAGCATCACCTCTGCCTGGCCTCAGATAACAGGCCCTTATCTGCGGTGAGTGGCTGGGCCGGGCTTGGGCAGGGGTCAGGGCCATGGGGCCGGGCGCTGTGGGGTTGGGATGTGTGGGGATGGGCCCCCAGCGGCTGCTGCGCATCCTGCTGCCGGCCACAGCCTTCCTTGGCCTCCTCTTCCTCTCCGGCCTCCGGCTCCGTGAGTGACCCGCCCCTCCCCACCATGCCCTCCACCCCCACAACCTCCCTACTGTGCCCTCAACCCATGTCCCCCACTGAGCCCCAACTCCCTGTCCCCCATCCCATCCATGAGTGCCTGACTCCTTTCACCCCACCAGCCACCAGCTCTGCCAGTAGGGCTGACACACTGCCCCAGTCCCTCTATATGTCCCATACACCCCCTGCTCTCACTCCCATTACTGGCCCTGTGTAACTCCCTGCCACTTACCCACCCACGCTTCACACTGGCCCCCCTCATGCTGGGCTCTGGCTGAGTGGATGGGGGGATTGACTGTGTGTGCCCATGGGATAGTGGGTGGGTGTGTGCACACCTGCTTCTGTGCTCTGGGCTCCATGGGCAACTATACAAGCTGGGGGGGAGGATGTGTGCACACCGGAATGTTACTGATAGGTTGATATGAGTGTGTTTTCACATATGCATGAGGGTGTATTTGCACATCACACATGGTGCTTGCCTCTGCCTGTGTGCCTGTGCTTGCACAAAGCAGGAATCGTAGCTCTGTATGTGCCATACATGTTGTTAGTGTGTGTGCGCGGGTGCTTGCCTGTCCCCATGTAACACACATCATTGGTCTGCACCTGGGCCATATTGGCTGCATGTGTACCCGTGTCTGCACATTACAAGACTTGTAAACCTGAAACACTGTCTTTGTGCATGTATGTGCCATGCATGTTCTTAACATGTAACTTGCATGTACCATGATTGATGCCTATAGCACTGGCCATGAGTTTTTATGTTCTTTGCATGAGCAAAACATGAAGCCTGCAGGTATGGTGCAGGGACTGACCCGTGAGCATCATGCATGTGGTTTGTGTGTGCACCCTGTGAAAACATTGGGGATGGGGGGAATTGTCCAACTGTCTGCGTCACTGAGCTGTGTTCTTCCCTCCCGACATAGCAGAACTGCAGCTCTCAGCTTGTGTTCAAGGGGGGCGTCCCTGTGGCTGGTTCGGGGACAGAAGGGAAACAGCCCCTGTTGGACAGGCCGGGAAGGTGAGAACCTCTGCCCTCACCCTGCCCCTCCTGATCCCAAACCTCCCCTCCATTCCTGTCCCAAATCTGCCCCCCTCTTTTCCTGACCCCCTCTCCTGTTTACCCTCCCTGCCCCACAGAGAACCAGTTTGCTTTGTGTCCCCTCTACAGCTGCCCCATCTCTCCTGGACAAGCAGCTCCCAGCTGCCCCTTCCAAGGTATAAGACTCCCCATCTGACTCCAGCCCCCCGCTGCCCAGGACAGGACTTCCAGATTAGCCGCCTGTTGGGGGCCTTCAGGGCGTGCGTGAACCAAAATGGGGAAATCCTCCTGCAAGAGTATCTGGCTGGCTGGAAAGAACTGATCAAGTGGGTAAACAATCACCCCCCCAGAAGGAGGCTGCATCTCAGCACTGGGCAAGGGCTCAGTGGTCCTCTCTCTCTCCCCCCAGGTTGATTGACGCTCTGGGATCCGCATTTGGCCTTCTTACACGGGAGACGCAGACGAAGGTGATGATCATGCAGGGGCACTGCTTGGGGCCACATGCCCCACACTACCGCACCCTCCAAGGCATGGTGGCCTTTGAGCTGCAGCACAGGTTGGTGGGGCTCCAAGTGCTGCCCCCGCAGCAGCCCCACTGCTGCGCCTCCATCGTGCCCTCAAATGGCTGCAGCTCTTCCTGGACAAGCTAGGCCACAGCAGGAAGGGGACTGACCCCTCCGAGCTGTGTGCCGAAGCCTACCAGGTAGCCCTGGCTCGGTACCACAGCTGGTGGGTGCGTCAGGCGGCTGGGTTGGCATTCTTGGCTTTGCCTTCACTCCCAGAGCTGCTCAAACTCGTCTGTGCACAGGGGGAGTGGGAAGCCCGGGCCATGCTCCTGACGACTGCCAGCACCCTCAGCAGGGTCTATAACCTCACCCAGCAGGTCTATGCCTCCCGTGGCCTCTTGGAGCTGCCATGAGCTGCCACTGGGGGAGCCAGAGAGAACCGTTGTAACATTTAATTGAAGTATGACTACAGAAATCATTTTTACAACCATTGTGCAAATGTTTACAGCACATCTGGTACCACGTGGACCAAGAGAAGCATCTGTGAAAAGTATTTCACTGGCTATAACGGTGCCATTTGTATGCATGTATCGTTTTTATATTGGAAGTTATGAGTATTGGCGACGTGCTTGTTTTGCTGGGCCAGCCTATTGTGAAGGGATATTTGGGTTGAATAGCAGAACTTGACTAACAATGGGCCTTGGGAGGTGCCAATTCACATCTGAGGAGCTTTTCTGTGAATGTTCAGACCAGCATGGGCACCATGGCGTCCACCTGCAAATAACTGACAAGCCCACATGATTCCAAACTCCATCTTGGGAGGTACTTTTCCACAGCGAGAGCTATGGGATTCCCTCCACTTGGCTGAGGGCGTAAAGGGCCCTGGGCTCTCTCCATATTGTCTTCAATCTGGCTTCTCACCTTGAAGAGGGTCTTTGCTACCAATTGAAGCTCCAAACAAGGGACTGAATGATCCATCCCAGCGTGTGGATGTCCTCCAGAGATGTGCCTTAAGCCAGGAGTTTCTTCCATCTCTGCCACAAGCCTGCACCAAGGAGTTAGCAATTAGCGTGTGTAATTTGATTCCTTTAATAATGTTAACTCTCACCCTTTCTTTCCTTTAATGAATAAACCCATAGCTGTTAGATTCCAAAGGATCAGCACAGCGTGCTCCTTGGGGGGGGGGGGGGGGG